AAATAAAACAACTGATTCATTAGAGTTTTTAAATGCAGACAAGGAATAAAGACTGAAATAAAGAAATCCATTCAGGCAGTAATAACCTGTGCTGGGTTTTACTTTGGCAGTACCTCCTGAGTCTTCCTCCTTACCTGCTCCTCTGCTCCTCCATCTCCAGCCACAGCTCCCGATGTTGTTCCAGCAGGGCAACGGCCGAGGCCACGTCAGCAGCCGTCTCCTCCTGCAGGAGGCGCTCCTGCATGGAAACCGCCCAGCGCTGCAGCTCTTTGGCCTGCTGCTGGAAGCTCTGCAGCCTGCGGGCCTCCTCTAGGAGGCGCTGTCTCTCTGCAGCCTGATGTTTCACCTGAGAAACAACAGAACTGATGTGATTTCAGACTGGACGGTTGACACACAGGTTTTCAGTTCCTGTAGCAGAGTTAAACACTATGCGTCATGAGATGCGTCACTCCTACACAAATAGTTAGTGATGATGATTTGATCTCATTTGACCTGTCTCAGTAGAGCCTCCAGATGCCGGACCTCCTCCATGATGGCTGCACTCTCTGCTGGACTGCAGTCCTGCTTCCTGTAACACAGGACAATAAACATCAAATGTTTTCAGTGTTGATTTTTACTTCTTTTACAACATAACAAATTCTTCTTCTTGCTTCTCAGGAAAAATCCGACAGTGTATCTCATACATCTTTGCAACGCTCTTCAGGTAGGAGATCTTGCCCTCCAGGGTCTGGATGTCTCTGAGCGCCTGAGCCTGGTTCTTCTCCTCGGCCGACAGCGTGAAGGAGCTGCAGCCCACGTCCACGATGTCGAGCCGGGACAGTTGATCCTGCAGCAGAGCTTTAGCCTCATCACAGTTCTGCAGAAAGGACTGCACATCTGCTGTACTCAGCAGCTCGTGTCCCTTCTCATCCTTCAGCTGTTGGATCCGATCCCACCTGAGGGCAGGAACAGAATCAGTTCACTGACTCTCTGTGATGATTGACGTCGATGGTTTTCCACTGTTTCGTACCTGTTGGAAACTTTCCTCTGCCTGGCCTGGATCTCTCTCTGTTTACTGTGTCGACTCCTCACCAGCTCCTCCGCCATTTTGATTATGTCATCCAACTGGCCACGCCCACTCATCAACTCAGTCAGGAAGTTCTAAAACCAGAAGTCAATGTGAATATTGGCTGAATCTCAGTTTGGAGCCAAGTAAAGCTTTGAACTCATTTTTATATTTTCATGCATCATGCTGGAAACCTCGTATTTGGCCTGAACGACCCCCAGGTTTTCAGAATCGGTGCTGAAAGTGTTCAGGATGTTCTCCTTGTCCTCCATCCATGACTCAAACTCCTCGCAGCTGTTGTAGAATCGATGCAGACGCAGCATCTCCTCCAGACTTGTAGTCCTCGTCTGAAACGCAAAACATCAAGAGTCTTTGTTTCCCTTTTAAACAATGCATGACATGACATACACAGACAAATATCTGTATGTTCGCTTCACAAAGATAAAATCTGAACTGCATTATTAGCGGTCTACATATCCCACTCCCTCACCTTGACCAGCTTGTATAGGGACTTGTAGTCCTCATCCAGTTGAGTCTGTGTGCGCTCCACAGTGTCTCTCTGGTACTGTGGGTCTGGAATCCCCGATGTTTGGATCTCAGTCGTGCTGCGGCGCATCGAGCGGCTTCGTCTGGGGCGACTCACCTTCCTGCTTGGGCTCTCTGGTACGCCATTGGTGCCGACTGGCGTGGTGGGCGGCGCAGGCTGAAACGGAGGATGTTATTAATGACACGTCTGAGTCAGGACCAAAAATGTAAACATACAATATTTAGATTGGTTCCTTTTATTTGAAACATTTGCACACGGTCAGGTAGTCATTTCTCTGTGGCTTTATAAAGGACTGAGAATCAAAAGGTTTATTATTTTCTATACATGAAATTCACAGTGAGTGATTTATTATCAATCCACAATAATTGGTTATTACAGGTCAGTCTTTAGTGCTGTGCTTGGATTATTGATCTGATTTAATTGATCTTACTGTGGCTGACAGCAGGGTTAGGTAGGTTTTGGGGATGAGCTGCTGGTTTCCTCGGCCATCTCTGGCAAGAACTCGGTCTCCATCCGGCTCGTTGCTGACAACGATAACAATCTCATTACGATCCCATGGAAACTGGCCTGGATGGAAGAAAACAATCAGTTAACATGTGTTAAGATTCTCCAGCAGGTCAGATCCTGTTCTACTTGAAATGTTTAATGACTTTCTGACCATGAGTCCTACAACTCCGACACAACAAAGCATCTTATGCCTTTTATGTGGACAGAAAAACCTCCAGTCAACCGTGGATCACATTGTCCGTGGATACTGGATTCGATATCTATTGCTGTTTTTACAATTTGGACTTTCTGACAACAGCTACAGTTAGCAGAAGTTAAACGTATTAAATGTATTAATTTTGAAAGCTCTGCAGTTCACTTACTGATGCTAACTGGCTAATTGTTAGCTGTTGGCTTCCCCACACACTATTTAACAGTAACAACTGACATGTCCTGTCCAGATAAAATCATTTGGATTATTTATATTAAATGACCAATCGAAGATGTCGGCTCTGCTGTACCTCTGCTGTATCTGAAGCGGACCTTGGCCTTAATCTCCTCACTCTGAAGGGTGTGGCTCCTCCCTCCCTTTAGGCTTGGTGATGATGTGCTGGTTCCTGGCACCTCCTCCTCTCCAGATGAGTCACTGTATTCCATCATTTTACTCTGCTGAGGCTCCGCCTACACAGGTAGAGGGCAACATGGTGGAGGTCAAACATGAAGGTTTTTTGTATTTCTCATCATCTGGCTGTTGCACAGATTCTCTCTCTGCATGATTTCTACTGTGAAGACGTCAGGAGAGGCTGTGAACTTTTCATTTGTTATCAGTTTATGTAAAACTGACTCTGAAAGAGTGAATATAAACAACACTCAGTCAGACTCAGGTCAGCTGGAGGCCAGTGTCCTAAACTGTAAAGAAGTGGAATGCAGTATGAAGGGACACCGTCGTATACTACACAGATGTGTACAGATGTGTAGATCTGTACAGAGCCACACGTGGATTTTATGATTTGAGTCTTTACTCACAGTCAGAGCTGTTAGCTGCGCAGCGCTCTTCGCCTGCTCTGACAACCTCTTCATCTCGGAGGCGTAGGCCGACATCTCCTTCTCCAGTCGCAGGTGCCGCTGTAGCAGCGCCGCCGTGCTCGACTCATCCTTCCCTTGGTCCTCGCTGGTCAGCAGCGGTTTCCTGTCTCCCAACCATGAGTTGGCCTCTTCCGCTTCTGCAAAGTACTGCGCAGAAGAAAGGTTTGTTAATCTGTCGTGAACTACAGAGGCCTGAGATTACGTGGATCCAGTCCCAATAAACCTAAACACACTCAATTATTTGCTGTGGTTTTTGTTTATTGGGACTTAAAGTTTAGAAAAAAATCTTCATAATCACACCAGATAAAAAGCAGCAAAATAAAAAGAGGAAATTAAATACATTTAAAAAATGTAATTGACAACATTTTATGCAAAATTGCTTGTTTTTGTGCCAATTTATTATTAATTTATCATTATAATTACTATTAAATTGCCATTATTGATAATAATTTGTTATTAATAATAATGAATTATCATTATATTATGTTGTTGTTATGTTAGTTATAGATTGAAGAGCTGGGTTAGGGTGAGGGCAGTTTATTTATCTAGCGCAGATAAACAGAAAAACAGGCATGAGTGAAATAGTTTGTCTTGTATCTGTTGCTCTTCTCTCACCGGTTAGAAAGCGTACACCTCGTCTACCTGTTTGATGGTTGTGGCAGCCTGCAGCCTGTTGCGGCGTCCCGTCACCTCGTCGGTCAGGTGGGCCCACTGTCTCTTTAAAGTCCTGATCCACTTCTGGACGGCTCGCTGGTTGACCCGGCTCTGTTTGGACAGCTGATCCTGACCTCGACCCAGAACTCCTTGGTACAGGGACTCCTGAGCCTGGATCTCCGCCTCCAGCACCTGAGACAATATGATAACATTTATTGAACTGACCAGATTTTTACTTTATCAAAGTACTTTCATGTGTGCGTTGCTCATTGTTTCATGTTGTTAAAAAGACACAAGGAATCATGTAAAGTTGTACGTCTCACCTTGTGATTGTGTTGAGCCAGCTGGGTGTGGTTGAGGTCTCGTCCCAGTCCGGCCGTCTGCAGTCTCAACCAGCGCTCATACAGCCACGCCTCCAACTCCTCGCAGTCATGGAAGAACTCGAACAACCTCAACTGAGCCTCCAACTGTTTCCTCCTGAGAGGAGAGAAGTAGGAGTTCCGTGTTTGTACATTGACATGTGTTACGTTCTTCCTGAGTAAGATTTTATTAAAAAGTGAAACTGAAGAATACCTGTTGCTGCTGAGCGACACCAGAGATTTGTACTGAGTGTCGAGAGCTCTTACTCTGCTATGAATCTGCTGACCGTCGCTCACTTTTCCCTGAAAGAGAGAGAGAGAGGTGAGCGTACGATTCCTTTCATCCAGCTGCAGCACCAGCATGAGACGACGATCAGTGCTGTACCAGAGCTGTGCTGCTGATGGTGGCGATGGTTTCACCATGAGCCGAGATCTGAGCTTCCAGGAGATCCTGCTTCTGAAGGAGAGACTCCACCTCCGTCAGCTGCTTCCCCAGGTCAGAGGAACTGGCCTGGGACTGAAGAGAAAGAAAGGAGAGAACAGGGAAATGTTAGTAAGAACAGGATAATAAATACTGATCCTGTGCTGTAAAATGAATTATTACTTACAGATGGTACAAAGGAGCAACACAAAATTATTTCTTATGTGTACATTTTAAAACCCAGCTGCAATCTACTTAACAAACCAAAGCGTATTTACCTGGAGTTCTTTCAACTCCTGGGAGACAATTTCGATGTCTCGGAGGCAGCTGAGGGTTTCAACTACATTACCCAGCAGCCCCCTGTGCTCCTGTAGCTGCTGCAACAGGTCCTTCCATCGGTTACGAATGCTCTCTTCCCTTAGGACACACAGACAGAGTACATATGGTTCTTTCCCTGACGGACTTCTTGAGATATCACACTCAAAAGGCGGCGAACTTGAAAACATAAAGCCTTCGGCCACTGGCTGCATAGACGCATCACACTGATGAGGTCAGAGCTGCACTGTGAAAGTCAGGATTTGAAATCCAGTCACCACACTTCGCTGGTGACACCTGATTTTATTTCTGTCTTTAGTTGTCACTCATCTTTCACTTAAACCACCTCCTCATCCTCACATACTCCTGATACCTGGCACCAGTCTCACCCCACACTGTCCCCTCAGGTCCTCATTCAACCCTGCACCTGAAGGAGCAAACAGCAGGTCACTCACCGCCTGATGATCTGCTCCTTGCTGTGGTAGTTTCCTCTCTCAATGGTCTTGGCCATGTCTCTCAGGGCAGTGAAGCGTGGCTCTCTGGCCAGAGCGTCTGTGGCAAGGGCCTCCAGACGCCGGCCAGCTGCCTGCACCTCCTCCAGGGTGGAAAGACCTCGGACGTCCTGCCTCCGGATGAGCCGCACCGTGTCCTCCAGATACCCCTCTCTCAGAGCTGCCTGAGGTACCAAAACAAACAGAGCACTGCCTGAATTCTGGATGTAGCACGAATCCATCATTAGCATTTCTTAAATTGTTGATCACTACAAACGTTCACTTTTTGCCTCAGAAAGTATCAATGTGCATTGTATTAGATTTTTTCTTTTAGGAGAATCTACCTTCCTCCCAAACTTCTGGGCAAGCTGCTCCAGGTTCTCCAGACGGAGCAGCGCCCCCTGCAGGGCACGTTCTCGTTCGTGTTCAGCTCTCTCCAACAAGACCCAACTCTTCTCTATGTCACGCAGTGTTTCACCTTCACACACAGAAACGCAATATTAGGTAATGAAATATGTTGTTTTGAACAAATCATAGACTAATAACTACTTAAAACCAAACTTATCAGAAACATGAACACATGAGATGAGGACTACCAAACATACCAGAAACCATCTTTATTTAACTACTTTTTTTTTGTTTGATCCATGTCCCATCTGCTAACATGGAGGAGGAAGCTGTTATGAACTGTACTGCAGCCAGCCACCGGGGGGCGATCCAGATAATCATCTATTTACAGACACTGCTGTGGCTAATAACAAAGATACAACCCTCAGAAAGTGAATGGCTGGACTGTGTCATTTACCCTCTGGAGGATTATAGGACCGCTGGTTGTTGGCGGCCAGCTGCGTCTTCAGACTGAAGAGATGAGCCTCAATTGCCCCACGTTCCTACAGAGAGACAAGGACACATCCAGAAGCACCAAGAAGTCAAAACTCAAATGACAATGCGCAGAAAAAAGCATATTTAGTTTGTTTTTACTGAGAAGACGGAAACATGATGGAGTCTCACCTGGTATTTAGGAGGTTTTTCCACTGTCCTGTAGGTTTTGAAAGCCGTCATCAGCGTCTGCATCTCCTTCAGAGAGTTTGGGAATCGTCTGTCATTCAGCTGAACCACCTGCAGTCAGACAAGAAACCATGAGTTCATCCACACAGCGGCTGCACTTCCTGTCACTGTGGTTTCGTTACCTTGGTTTTGATCCATTGCAGCAGATGTGAGACCATTCTCTCATACCGCACCTTCATGTCATCCAGCTCCATCAACATCCCCACAATCTGAGCAGACACACAGGAACAAAGTCGTCAGAGACGTTCTTCAGAACCGACCTGATGCACCTCAGAACCTCTGAACAACAGAATAGTGGATGCAGATTTTTGCACTCTCCAATTGCTCCTATTTATTTTTATTTTCATCTCGTGGTTTTCCTGTAACTCTCAAATACAGAGTAAATCTCCTTGTGGCCCCTAATTTCAACTTGTCCGTCCGAGTTGTGAGGAGACTGTTTCCTTCGATTGAACAATAAGGAGAACGTAGTTCTATCACCTCAGGTTCGAGAACTACAGGTCCAGTGAATGACTTCATGAATTTATTGAAACAGAGCAACAGGACACGATGATGAGACGCAGAACAAACCTTGTGGTGGGATCGGGTGGATGACTCTCTCCTGTACTCCCTCTTCACCCACTGACCACTGAGACTTCCTCCCAATGACATGTTGTTACCTCAAACCTAAAACATTACTCCACCACACACCGGTGCAGAGTATAGACTGCACATAAAACACACCTGCTACACCCGTTACCTCTACCTCACCTGGACCTCAAAACATTTAGTGTTTTCAGCACAGATGCTAAAGAGTCTTCTAGATGTGCAGACTGAACCTGGAACATCTGATGTCTCCAGTTTGGCTAAAACCACCTGATGTACTAACTGCTGTTAAAGTCTGGAAAGACCCCACAGGTCATTTCCTGTCCTTTCCATGTTGGGGATTGTTGGGAACCTGATGGAGCTGCATCTATAAATATAAACCATCATTACGTGACACCAGGTAAACCACTGGACCTCGAAACACCTGGTACATAAACATCAACAGCAGTTATTGCACAAGTTCCAACCATCACAGCTGAACATTAGAAGAGAGAGAAAATTAACTACCCTCAACTTTTTTTAAATATCTATATTTCCTGTTTGTACATCTACTATCAAACATGCTTTGAATGAAGCAGAGCTTATAGTTCACAAGAGTACGACACTAAGGCAATGGACAGAAACCTTCCCTCATGGTAATATAACATTGTCAGTGCATATTGAGATTTAAATTCAACAGAGCATTTGTGAACCAGGTCAAAAGGAACTTTGAACATCTGCAGTTGCACAACAACTGAAAGCCTCTGATTATAAAACTGGAATTTCCAGATATAGAAAGATCAGCAATCAGACTCTATAAGTTTGTTTTTAGCTGCTCTCATGAATTAAACCTTACACAGGTGCTAAAGCCATAAATTAAAATCCCTCAGCATGAACAGAAACTTGTTTGCTCCATCACTTTTCCTTGGATCAATGAAACACAAACTGCTCTCAGAACTAATACAACAAATCTGCAGGCAGACCAACCCCACAAAGACAAACGACAACAAATAGAAACCAATCAACTGCCCTCTGAGTCCAGGGTTAAATCTTAGGACGCTCTGTTTCATTGTGTTATCAGGAGCAACAGGAGCTGAACACCAACTCTATCGTCCAGATCCGTCTCCTCTGCTCTAACGGTGTTTCTGTGGAGTCGCAGAACGATCGCTGATGTTTGTGAAGCTGCCTACAGCAGCGTCTCAGTGAGTGTGTGTGTGATCTGATTAGCTTAGTGTCTGCAGCCACACCCACTGACCTCACAGGATAGAGGGGTCAAGGCTGCACTGTCACCTCACATGAAACATCTCAACTATTATTACTCAAATATTATCAATTTAAATAACATTACGCTATAAAACGTGAGCATTTCTTTTGTCATGTAAATATATTATCTGTATTTTTAACATTAGTATCACTGGTGTCTTTCTTTCAGAGGGTTCTTTCAGAGGGTTCTTTCAGTGGGTTCTTTCAGTGGGTTCTTTCAGAGGGTTCTTTCAGAGGGTTCTTTCAGTGGGTAGGATGTAAGATGGTGTGAGTTCCGTGAGCTGCAGCTCTGTAGCTCTTGCAGCTGAGCTCCCATGAGTCCTGAATCTAATCTGACTGTAATCCACGCCGCTTGATAGGCAGGCAGTGGAACCTGATGGATTAGAGAACACCATGATGCTACAAACCAGCCAATGGTCAGCGAGGAGACTCATGTTCACTTATTCTAGAGGAGAAAATGTCTGTGGATGAGATTTCAAGACAGACTGCTGCTACAGTACCAATAGCAGCCTGCAGAGGGCAGAGCAGTGCAAGATTTGTACAAAGAGAAAAATGAATTATAGAAAACCAATTATCATCTTTAAGATATGAGTTTGAGTTCCAACAGCAGAAAATATCAGACTACTTTTACATGGACAGCAATATTAAATCATCATTATCAACCAGATTAAGACGATAGTCTGAATAAGACATTGTCGTGTAAACAGCATGTTCTGATTAACTTATCCTGAATGAGGTGATTCTCAGAAAACACAATGGAATTAAGACATGTGGAGTATTCTGAGTCTGATTATGTTGACATGTATGTTTAAATGACATTATAAAGTCCTGTTGGAGTTTAAAAGAACACATTGAAAAGGTTAATTCATTGTACATTAAACTTGTGTTGGGATTTTAAAACTGTCAGATTATGTCGGTCATGACGATGTGGGTCATAACTGCACTACGCTCTGTAACGTGTTAACAGGAACATGAATATTCTATAAGCAACTCATGTTAACACCATAATCAAAACAATGTCTTCATCTGGATGAGATCAGCATAAATAAAATCAAATATATAGTGGCTCAGTGGCGCCCCCATGTGGTGCTGCTTCAGACCTTAGCAAGTCTCTTCTGGATGGTCTGTCCCTGCTTCATCTTGGAGAAGTAGTGGTAGTACAGGGACACGTAGGTCATGATGGACTTCTCGTCAGGATGAGGGACCACCATGTCCTCCACCTCCAGCAGCTGCATGATCCCAAACTGCCGCTCTGCCAGGGAGAAGGCGTGCTCCAGGTTACGGATGGGGTCGTCGCCATGGAGGCGGTGATAGTCGAAAAGGTCAGGCCTGGGGCGAGGATAGAGAGAGATTGGGGGATGAGTGTGAGAGAGAGAGAGTGTGTGAGTGTGTCTGTCTGTGTGTCTGTGTGTCTGTGTGTGTGTGTGTGTGTGTGTGTGTGTGTGTGTGTGTGTGTGTGTGTGTGTACACGTGGGTTTTACCTGTGGGCATGGATGAGGGCGTTAAAGGCAAGTCCGTCCCTCCAGCTGGACGAGAAGTCCTGCACATTGACGCCACCGTAGCCCGAAGTTTTCCTCTGACACCAGATCAGCAGAGCCTCCTTTGCCGAGCGGTGAGCGACACTACCACCACCCGCCTGAGGGGTACAGGAGGAGGAGAAAGAAAGAAGGAAAGGAGGCGAGGGGAGGACGTAAGAAAAGGAAATGAAAAGCAAGTTAGAAAACAAATAAGAGCAGAGGGAAAGAGGTTAGGAAAGAACAAACAGAAATGGTGAAGAAGGAAGAGAGAGGATGGGAACATATTGATACAAAAGAGGGAGAGAAGACAGGTGGAGAAAAGACAAAGGAGAGAGAAAGATGAGAAGACTTGAGTTTCAGGTTACAATTTTCATTTTTTTTAAATAAGTTGTGGGGGAAAAAGAGACTCTACCTCCTCCAGGTTAATCGGTCCGATCTGGAACCTGAGGATGATGATCCACAGCAGACCCAGGATCAGCGTCCGGTCCCCGTCCACCACATTCTCTGGACCAATCAGATCCACCCGAATCTAACGGTGAAAATTGTAGAATGATAGTCATCAAGGGAATTGAAGAAGAAGTAGAATCAGGGTGCTTTAGGATTGGAGCAGACAGGCTGGAGCTGGGCTTTTAACCAAAAAGGTACTTTCCCCAATTTGTGCATTCACAAACTGTCGGGTTTTACGCTACGTTCCGTGCCATCTTCACTCCCCCGCTAACCTGCGCTCACAATAAACACCAACAGCAATCAGAAGTCATTAGGACACGTAGACAACAGGACTTGAAGTTTCCTTTGTGTTTAAACACACTGAAACATTTTGCACACACACAGTTCACACAAAACACGAGATGTAATTTGATGACAACATCAAACCCTGATGTTGTCATCACATTACACAAAGTGACCGGAACAACCTTAAAATAATGGACAGGTGAGGTAACCGGATGGTCAGTTACCTTTGATTTGAGGAAGTTGATGGCGATGCTGTTGTTTTCCAGACAGTGGACTCTTAGTTTACGTCGACTGGGCGGAGGCAGCGTCTCTCTGGAGATGAGCTCCAGCAGACGAATCAGAACGACTCCGGTCTTCAGCTCCACGTAGACGTCAGTCAGCTCCCCGCTCTCCTGCAGGAGGTCAGGACAGTTGAGTAACTCTGCCGGATCCAGTCATGAGTCCAAACCAGCAGTTTCATAACAGAGCTCCATGGTTTATGTTTTTCATTCACATTTTAACATGTTATATTCATACACTTTATATAAAAACGAAGCTTTTCCCTATTCAGCAGTTTATAAATTCTCTATCAGTGAATATGGATGAAAACAAACAGCATCGCGATGCTTTAAAATAAATATAGTATTTACACATACACTTCCATGAAACCATGACTGTTTGGAGCAAATGGAAAACTAAAGTTGTGATTCAACAATTGTTTTCATTATAAGTTCATATGACGAATACTTTCATAAACTAGAGATGGACACATATACTGATGCGTCAAGGTCAATACACACACACACCCACCCACACACACACACCCACACACACTTTTACTTGAGTAAAGGTACCAGTCTGATATTAATAGAGCAGAGCAACAGAAGTATCAAGTTTTCTAATGCATGATTTAACACGTGTACAGTTGTGTGACAGGCAGGAAGTCCAGGGCAATTAGGTTAACTTTCATTTTAACAATCCAACTTCCCCCTGAGGTGTGTTACATAACGTCTCTCCGTACTGTCTGGTTCAGGACATCCTGGTTATCTACAGGTCAGGGGCCCTGTCCACCCAACATCTTAAAGGTAAGTGGACAAGTGGCGGTCCTAACTTTAGACTCTGAAGTGTTTGTTCCAAAATAATTTACAGTTTGTTAATCAGACCATCTCAGAGAACATAAGTCTGACGTCTAACACACGCTACATGTTGCTTCCATCACCACAAAGTTTTCTAATTCAAGACACTCTCCTCCATCAGGCTTTCAACACCTCTGTGTGTGTTTGTCCACAGTGCTGCTTTATCTTCTGGATGAAACTACATCTGAAACACTCAGTGAACGACCCCGTGTTCCAAACCCACAGAGATTTATTTGATTTATCAAAAACACAATGAGCAACATACTGTCTGGGTGCAGTTTCACTGGTGTGAAAATGAAAACCTACCGATGGTTGAACATTGGAACTGACAGTCCTTCATTTGATGATTCCAGTTTGAATTTTATGGATGTCTCTTAAGTAAAATGTCACATGTGCTCATCAAATTATATTATGTTTAAGTATCATACTCATAAAAGGAAAAGCTGTAAACCCTCCTGACCTAAATTTAAAAATTAACTAAAATATTGTTTATCATTTATTTAAGTTCTCTCATAAAA